TCTGTTTATTATTGTGTTGTCTGCCAGCTGCGAATAATAATATTAATATGTGTATCTCTGGTACAATTAGTAATGCCTTCGTTATGCTTTTTGTCGTGTAGTTGGATATCAGTTTTGGTACACCTTTGTTTGTATGCATGCATAACATTTTGTAACTACTGATTTTGAAGTTTAGCCATTTTGGCCAGATTTAAGTTATATGTATTTGTATGTGAAGGAGAGATATATTTTATTTTGCGGCTTCCTTTTAAAAGGCCCACCTTTTTTAAACTGTGGCACCGTGTGGTCTCTGCATACGTTGATCCCTGTACGTATGCATGCTTACGTGCTTGGTTGAGAATGGATGAAATGAATGATCAGTTATCTTTTTATTTTGATATCATACATACACACACAAGTTCCACATATCTAGGATGCATCTTAAGTCGTTCCTAGATTTGTTGGTTTACCACAACTTTTTATACATGCAGAAATTTAAAAGTCGCATGTCAGTACTTCATGAAACCCCTCTCTCTCTTTTCATTCCTTTTTTACTTTGAATTTCAGTTTTGTGTTCAAACACTTGTTTATCTGTGTCAACAGTAATAATAATAATAATAATAATAATAATAATAATAATAATAATAATAATAATAATAATAATAATAATAATAATAATAATAATAATACTAGAACATGGTTGCAAACTAGGGCGTGGTATTTCCTCATATCTTTCAAGCACACGCACATAACTAATGAGTTAACTGTTATATGGCTTTATTCCGTTTCATTTTATATCAAATAAGAACAATCTAAGCTGTTTCGATTCCCCCGTTGTTGTTTCTGTGTAGTATCCCTTCCTGATTAGTATATATCAACAAGTATACAACCTCCAAAGTTGTCGAATAGGTTGAGTTTCTTACTGTTTGATACTCGTAATTTTCTGTTGCTATAACTGAATTGAATTGCTCGGCCTCTGTTAGTTGATCGGTTTCTATGCGGACGCCCTGGTACTAACTGAATATTCATTATATTATCATGGCTAACAGTGGAATCTAAAACGAGTGTTTCAGGACTCGTCAACTGGATGTACCTGTACCTCAGTGAGTGATGATGAACGTAGTGATTACATCCTGTGATTGACAGCATTATTATTGTTTTAAATATCAGACACTTATATTGCCAACTGAAATCTGAAGGTAGGTATCGATTAGTAACTGATAACAATACCTGTTGTGTTCAAGGTCATCGTGACAAATTCCTGATGATTGACGGGCAGGGAGTTGTCAATTTATGCTTTTCCCTGTGACGCCTATCTCTTACTTTCTGATGAATTGATGCAAGTTGAAAGTATCAGTTGGATTGACTGTCGTCTCGCACCTTCGCTGATCAAAATTTCACACTCCATCTGTTTTCTAAGCCACTTGTGGATACATATTCTCCCACTCTTAACTTTATAACTCGATTGCTGCTCCCTACGTGTGTGCGGAAACACACACACACACACACTTGTGAACTGGTAAACAGAGTGAGATGTGACGTAATCATTAATGCAGTGTTTAGGTTTGTATTGAAGCATGTATTTTGTTTGTTCCACAATAATAAGATTAACTACATAATTTGTCTTCTTAATGTCTGGTGTTAGCCTGCCTTTCAGGATCATACTATTCAACTGTCCTCTGTATGATTAAGTGACGTGGACACTTAGGAACTGTGTATAGAGTTGGCTTTGGTGCCACCTGACTTCTACTTCTACTTCAACGGATATCCATTTTCCGTAAATGTTTTTGGGTCAGTAGTTTGATATCTTCATCCATCGTATCTGATGTACAGACTGATCGTTTTCTCGTCGATTCAGTAGTACATTTAGGAATAGCAGATGTTTATTGTTCTCTTTCTCACAAGTCAGGCTAATATGAGTTTGTACGGTGTTGTCTTTTTAGTAGTTAAACCTTATCTTCATGTTTCTCACAAATCTGTATTATGTCACCGACTTGTGTAAAGAGTAACTTTAGCGATGATATCACCAGCCAGATTTTCAATATATGATATATAAATGTCTGCTAGTAATGGTCCTATAGAATCACCTATAGCTACACCGTCAACGTGTCGAAAGCATTCACCGTCAAATGTGTTTACCAGTTTACATGCATGTGTATGTGTGTGTATGTGTTTCTAGTCACATATACATAAGGAGGAGTAATCAAGTCATGTAGTTGAGAGAGCGAGATGATGTATACCTGAATGGCTTCAGAAACAAATAGAGTGTGAAACTTTGATATATGCAGGTAGGAGACGATCATCTTCATCTCTGGTTAAGCATATTACAGAAATGAGTCACAAAGTAATTCGGCGAAGAGCAAAAAAATAATACCAATTATAATCAATAATTGAAATAAAGTATTAGTATGACAATTTTTGAGTAATTATGAGGGTCACCTTAGGAACGACTGAAACAACCAATCAGGTTCCTTGATTTCGATTGAAAAAGTAATTTTCTTATAAAATACAAAAGTCCAATTAGTTATTTCAATAGTTGTGAGGGTGAAGTTTGGCATTCACTTGATTTTTTTACTGGCAGATTAGAGCTAATATATTAATACTTTACTTTAGCAAGTAAACTGTAAAGTAAAAATAAAAAGCAATGATAATCAGTAAGTCATCATCATCATCATTATCAACATAGGATCAGGCATTACTGCATAACGGTCCCAGTTACCACACCTCATATCAGCACATCAAGTAAAAAGGTAGTGAGGTGAAGGATGAAGATAAGTGAATGCAGTCAAAAGAAATATAAAGTATGAGAAGAAAGGAGAGAGGAGTGACAAAATGGTGAGACTCGGTATAGCGTTGTTAAGATGAGGATAATGTGTGTGGGTGTACATCTGCACCACTGACATCGGTTCTGAACCATATCACCTAGGGTCTCCAACCACTGGTTCCTCTTATCCCGCGGACCCCAACCACCTACTCTGCATCGTCCTACATGGCTTAAACCAACAGTGAGAGACTTCATACATTCGTGCCATGTTTTAGTCTGGCCACCTCGAGCCTTTTTCCAGCCTGGACCCACCTCAGCCAAAATTGTGTGACGAGGCAATCGGTGACTAGGCATACGTAGTACGTGTCCCAACCATCTCAGTCGATGAAGGTTCACAACCTCGTCAACTGACTTACCTCTTCTCCCTTAAACTCTACACCTGACTTCTGCATTACTCACGTGGTGTGGTGACACCAGGGAATACGGTGGCCTATACTACGAAGGCAACGGTGGTCAAACACCTGAAGCCTTTTTGTATCCTCCACTTTCAATGGCCATGTTTCACAGCAGTATAGTAGAACAGAGCGGACTGCTGTGCAGTACACGCGACCCTTAATAGACAAACGAATATCACGGCGGCTCCATAGGTGGCGCAAATTGGCAAAAGCCAATCGAGCCTTTTGTATCCGTGCAAAAATCTCATCGGCAAGTTAAACGACTCAAAAGGAGTGTGAATTGATCACTTATGTATGTATAGCCGAGGCGTTGACAATCTAACAATTAAGGTCTGACCTCTGTGTACAAAAGATTTAACTCCGTTCTCTTATTTTGTTGTTTACTGACTGAGTAAGTCAGTCAGTAAATGTAAGATGAATATTGAAGTAATAAAAAAAAACTCAAGGAAGGATGATGACTACAACAAAATAAGAGAATTGAGTTAAATCTTTTGTACACAGAAGTCAGACCTTAATTGTTAGATTGTCAACGCCTCGGCTATACATACATAAGTGATCAATTCACACTCCTTTTGAGTCGTTTAACTTGACTTTATACAGGATTTTAGAAGAAGACTGTGAAGAAGTGACATGACCAGATGGAACTGTTGCTTGACTTCTGTTTTCCTTTGGAAAGCTATGCAGGATAGTCCTCGGAAGTTAGTATGGAAAGACTACGCTTTATGCAGCCTATGTAATAAGCTCCACAAAAGCAGATAATGTCATGCCTAAGATTTTAACCGGCGTCACCCACTCTTACAGTCAGCGATGTTACCACTGGGGGTATTTGGGCCACGACTGACCTTCTGTAAGACTGGATTAATTCAATGCATTGATTAACCAATGAATCGGTGGTAATGCTTCAGATATATTCACTGTTTTACATTTGTCTGTTCCGTCTTCAGTTGCGTTGACTTGAATACCACTCGTTTTCTATCCACTTTTTATATAGATATCCTATGAGAGGATTCCGTCAACTTGAAGTGATGCGTTTGTCTGTGTAATGGATGGTCACAGTACAAAATAATTCATAGTATTCAGTCAGCACGCATGACTAGACAATATGAGATTGGTTGTTCTCCAGTGATCAATCAATGTATCCAATCCAGTCCTACAAGAGATGGAATGCAGCCTGAATATCTCGGTGATAATTTCGCTGACTGTAGCGATGGATAACGCAGGTTCAAATCTCACAAGGGGGATATCACTTCGGCTGAGGCCTCAGAAATGCCTTTCTAACGAGTGCCAAAAAACACGAAATCTAGGTTTGGAGCTTTCTGGTGATTACCTCCGACTGATATTGAGAGCCTTCTAGCTAGGTAACCATATTTTAAAATAATCCATGGAATTCGGTCAACATTCAGGACTAGACAATATGAGATTGGTTGCCCTTTCCAGTGATCAATCAATGAATATCAGTTATTTTATGAGTTGAATAGGGATTTTTTAAATTTTGAGGTTGTATTCATTACGGACTGATATCAGTTAGGGAGGCAGTGAAAACCTGATAATATTGGACAGATGTTTTATCCTAGCACTGGACTTCTCAGCAGTACGCACCAACCACCTGGCTAGGGGTCGAACTCAGGACCTTCAGGTTTCATGGCGAATACATCAACCATTCCGTGATGAATACTATCTCAAAATTAAAATCCTCATTCATCTCATAAATACATTGCTGTGTATTGCTCATTACTGACATGCATGCAGACAGCACGAAGTTCTAATGAGACTCCGTGACCTGTGTAGTCAACCAATCAGAAGAGAAGCTGATGTCATCTGAAGCCCTTGGGTGATAGTCGCACTATATCGCGAATCAGTAGAAGTTGGAAACTGTGAATCACTGAACTCTGCCCTACTGGTAAACACGTTCACCATAAAACCTGAAGGTCCCGAGTTAGATCCCTGATGGAGGTCGTAGGTGCGTACTGCTGAGGAGTCCTATACTAGAATGGAGCAGCCATCAGGTGCTCCCAGGTTTTGTTCACAACTAATGACAGTTCATGATAAGTACAACCTCAAGGTTATGTTTATGATTACTGAATGAATGAAGATTCTACAATATTTGAGATTCGATCATTTAGATTGCTGCAGTAATTGCTCCCCAAGAATGAATTGCATGAATGAAGCTTTCAGTACGGTTGAAATCACTAGGCGCTTAGTTGTCAAATGGTATATGACTGAACCTAACATTCTATTTGCGATTAGATGTCACTTTTCGAATGTTGGTTGGTGGCGATGGGTAGGAAGCTGTGTTCGTTGGCATTCGTCAACAAGGTATTTTCGAATTTATTCAACAGGAGAGAATGTGAGAATAATTGATGTTGATATAGCTATCAAGAGGGAGATAATGTTTGGATGTACCTGAGCTAGTGAGATCATTCGCAGCCATCACCTGCAGTCTCCAACCGTCGGTTTCAGGTCCCCCACAAACTCCCCCTGGGATGTCCACAATCTAAGGCTTCATGAACTGATGCCGTGTTTTAGTTCAGTTACTTGTAACCTTTTGTCAGCCTCGAGCTAATTCTGCTAACATTTTGTTTCAGTGCATAACTAAGCATGTACGACACATGTCGTACCCATATGAGTTAATGAAGTTCCACAATCTCGTCAATGAACTCTCTTTTTCTGACTAAAACTCTAACGACGTGTTAGGACCATAAAACAGCTTAAACTACGAAGTCGGCAGTGGTCAAACACCTGGAGCTCTCTCACTTCATCCACCTTTAGTCGCTATGTTTGAAACTGGTAACAGGACGAACTACAGTGCACTTCACTCGGCTCCTAAGTAGGCAATCGGATATCATACCTGTGCCATATGTGGCGTTAATATTGGCAAGCATCGACAACAAGCCTTTTGTATCTCTAAAGATATTTTGTTGCCTACCCAGCCATCAGAGGTGATCGGAATCTCTTAATCATATGAAGCGATTGTTGCACTCACCTACTTTACTTTTACTTTTTAGATGAGACAAAAACACAGACTAATGCATGTCAGGCATTCTGAAATTACCACTCTAGAATTCCTTGTAAATTTTCAGCATCTTCAATCAACAGAAAAACGTCATTCCCTTATTCTAGGTTCACTAAGTAGCCTCATATAACAAGATCAATTCATGTAAAGTCAAACGAGAAGGTGAAGAGAGACCTCCATATTCACGTGTCTCATAAACTTAAATAAAAGTGAAGTGAGTGGATATTGTTGATAGATGTCACTCGATACACACAACTCACTGGATACCATGTTACAGACTGTAACACATACACGTGTTTTCGAATGCATAGCTTTATTTACCTGATACCTCACGTTGACGAAGATAAAATTCACACTCGGCGGATACAAAAAGGATGTAAGCGATGTACGTATCTACCCGTTTGTAATATCTCCTGAGAAAAATTTATCTTCAGTTTGACTATCTAAGATAGAAACCGTGGTTTCTCAGACTTACATTGATACTGGATGATGATTGAAGGTGAAATAAAAATCTAGTCAGCGGCTGGATCTCGGAACTCTCTCGGTTGGTAGATCACCGGGCTGGAAATCCGGTAGTCGTTGGTTCAAATCCCCCTATGGCCCAAATTTTCATTTCATCTTCAATCATCACCAAATATCAATAAATATATTTGTCATATCTAAGAAAAGAGTAAAGGAATTTTAGTGTTTTAAGTCGAACCACTGGATACACTTCGTATGGATGCTTTCTAAATGTGTAGATTTTATGGATTATCCATTTCATTTTATGTAACTGTGTAGAATATCACAGCGAAGTAAATAGTTGTATCTCTTACATTAAGGATGGATCATGGCTGGCAGTGGAATCCAGGATGCTCATTTCGTCCTATTTAGGACTCGTCAGCTGGATGTACCTGCTTCCCAGTGTGGAGTGATGTTGTCCCCACCGGGACTCGGGCTCGGGAGCGATCGCTTCAAATGCCAGCGCGTTATCCACTTGTCATAAATGTCCAAATTCCTCTTTTCAGCCTAAGAGTAAGTAGTAGAAATGCAATAAGTTTTAGGGATCCCAACTGGGAGTCTGCCAGTTATTGTGAACTTTATTTATTGAACTAATTTGATTTCTTGTTGCTATCCTGGATCAAATCGTTCGATGTTTGTTGGCAGATGGGCTTTTTAAAGGGGTGTCTCTGTACTGTACGAATATTCATTATGTGTTGTAGTCTACTTGGTGGTGGCTAACACGAGTCCGTAATGCACGTTTCATCCTCTTTAGGACTCACTCGTCACCTGGAGAAGGTATACACTGTCCCGGGGAATGATATTCTTTCCACCGAGACTCGAACCTAGTACCCATCGCTTCAAACGCCAAAGTGTTATCCACTGGGGCATGATAATCACCTCTTGCACAACGAGTATCATTTTCTGTTTATTAATAATTGTGATTTCTCATTGATATACTGGATTTTGACCCAGGATAGCTCGATCTTTCCTTCAATAAGCTGAAGGTACATGTAGTTGATGAATCCCAAATAAGGCGAAACACGTGTGCTGGATTTTGCTGTTAGCCATCGTATAGACTCTACGCTTGATGTTGTTGCTTTTCTGTAGTACTACATACTGCAAGCGCTGATCTTGCTTAACAGATTGCTTTTCTTTGCATACTGGGCATAGTTTGACGTTTTTGGAGATTCACCAACTCCATCCTGTCTATTCCTGAGTACTGAATTGAATTCTATCGCTCATTTTATAAGGTGGTTACTCATCAACTAGGGTTCTCAGCATCACAGTGCACCTTGATCGATTTTAGATGGTTGCAGGCAATTGGCAGAAGGTGTTGCTTCACTTACAGTTTCATGCTTTAATGGTACTCGTCGGCAAGGCATATCTGGAACCTCAAAGAAACTGGACCTCCATTACCCAGTGCTGAAGTCAGCGCCGTTATCATTAAGCTTTTCGACCTGCGATTCACTTCCTTTAAAGGACTGGAATGGGTACACTTATTAGTCACTAGAGAATGACCAACTTCTTGTTGTTTAGTCCACCGGAATCTTGTGATACAACCGGTTAACGAGTTGTAGGAACGACGCAACACACCTGTTGGCTCTTATTGCTGGTGCTTCCCCCAGACTATTATATCTACTAAAATGGGAATAATTTGTATGATTATCGCGTGATATACCAAAAAATCATTAGTCAATTCGATCAATAAAGGGAGATAACAAGCTCCATCAGTATCAACAACATTCTTTCTTTGTTTATTCCTACTAGCTATACGCTTCACTTAATTTAGCAATGTGAACGAAGTTCAGCTGTTTTTTTTTAACGCTCTGATTTGAAAGTTTACGTTTAGTTTCTTTTTTATCATAAAAAAAGTCTCTCTCTATCTATCTCATGTGATGTCGGTAGCACACAATCTCTAATATGTCGACCTTGACCCTTTTACATATTTACAGATTGTCTCTCCTTATCCTCCTATGATTATTTCTCTTTGTCTCTCTCTCTCTCTGCGTGTGTATGTGTTTGTTTGCAAGCTGTGCAATAGTAAGTAGTCTGAGATGATGATTGTGTCACCAGACGGAATATGAGTGAGAAAAATGGTAGTACTACTAATCACCTCAAGGACATGACAATGAAGAAAGAATGAAGACTGACCTAGCTTCATTCTTTTGTAATCATTAAATAACAGTCACATGTTAGATGACACATCTAAGTACTGTCATATCATCTCCGAGTGACTTTAAAAGTCATGCTAAGCAACTGCTGAAATTGCCAATCAGGTTTTTCCATTTTATAAGTCTGACTTTTCAGCCGAAATACAGAAACCTAATTGATTATTTCAGTTGTTGCTAGGGTGGCCTTTAAAGTCACTCTCATATGTACGTTTTATACTGGTACTAGTACTTCACTCCATACTAGTCTAATCAATATGATTCTTGTCCTCTCTCTTTAATCCAGATCGATTTCCAATAGGATGAGAAGTCCTTGATGGGCAGCCAGTGGGAATACGATGAACGAACAGCAGTAACAAAGCATCATGATTTCACACAGCAGTTGGAAATGAAATTAAGATCTGGTCAACAAGCAGCTGCGTCTCGTAGGTTAGTTGGTAGTGAACTGAGCCAGTAACCTGGAGGCCCGGGTTCTACCTTTATCTATCATCCAGAATTCCATATGTGATGGTGAGGCTGTAGGAGGTAGCTGTGGTTTTGTTTCGGACTGACACAGGATAGTGCTTGACGGTGAAATTAATACCTAGATCGCTACCAACATCCAGACTAGTTGCATTCGGCCTACTGGCGCCTCACTCTCCCAAGTGAACTACGAAACTCAGCTACCGACTGAGGACTTTACTATGAATGAATGAATGATATGTCACCATTTGTTCATTTGCGTCACATTAATTCCTTAATTACGTCTTCCTTTTCCAATCGAAGTCGGGTCCAGTTGGAAAGACGAAACAATGAACTATCTCAGATAGTGATGATGGATAGTGGCTACCAGTGGAACCCAGGACACGTGTCTCTTCCTATTTCGGACTCGCCAGCTGAATGAACCCACCTCCCAGTCAGCGATGTTGTTCCCACCTTGACTCAAACTCGAGACCGACAACTACCAATGGAGACCGATCAATGCGGTCCGTTCAACGAAGGGATAATACAATCAACAACATGCATTTGTTTGCATACTATTTTACAAATATGATCTTGATTGGCGATAGCATTTGCGTTGTTACCAGTTTAGTTCTGGTTCACCTACGGTACATGATTGTGTTACTGGCTAAGTAGTCTTGTGTATATCTGCATCACCTTGTCTGAATTTACATGGATTGACCTTCTCACAGTAGACCGAGAGTATACACAGTAAATAGTTATGTTAGGGGAAAATGCTGACAAGATAGTCTTTTAGACAACCTAGAGTAACAATTTGAGAATGTTCGAGATACTTTACAGCTGATCTACAGTCCAACAGTAGGCGATAGAATGGTTGATATCCGATCACCTAATAGGGTTCTAATGGGATTCGCCACTTTGCTCCATCTATGACTTCAGTGAGATATCTAATTGCCTACTAGGGAGTAATTTTACTGCGCAGCAGCTCGCTTTGTTCTACTTCATAAAGCTGTCAAATATGGCGATTAAAGGCGGAATCTCCACGTATTTAGTGTAGAAGTCGGGCTTGAAGTTTTAGGCCAAAAAAGCAAGTCAGTTGATGAGGTTACGAGTATCAGTCTACTCAAGTTCCTGAAGCATTGTACTACGTATGCTTAATCACTGTCTAATTTATGGCACAATGTTAGCAGATGTTAGTGTAGACTGGAAAAAGGTTAGAGGTCATCAGACTTAGTTAGTTGCCTTCAGTTGATGAAATCTCCGATTGTTCATCTGAGTCATCTTGATCTTCACATAGCACTTTATCGTTGTTTTGTTATCGCCTACTCTCTTCTTTGGAATTTCTACAACTTTTGATTTTCTTTCTTTCTTATTTCACTTTCACTCACATTGGAGTCATCTGTCATGGATGATTTTACAACTTTGAACCATTCAACAATAATTACAAGTCATATGTTGATATTCACTAACTGATTGACTAAGATATTCTCATGAAATATATACAGAACAATTAGATAAACTCAGTTATAAGTTTTTATCACAAACTTGAAAGTTATTCGTCTAAATTTAACACAGTCACATCTTCTGAATTCTATCCACTCCTCTATAAAGCGAATGCTTGATCTTATAAGTGAAAAAACTTGGGCACTATGGTAGAATGTAATTCCATATTAGATTTGTTTATTTGATATATAACACACAGTGGTGATACAGTATTATTTATCAAGTAAATAATACTATATCACTGTGCGCTATATATCAAATAAACAAATCTAATATGGAATACTTGGTCTCATTTAAGTGTCTATAATATGGAAGTTTAACTGAAGAATTCTTAGAGAACTGTTTCCTTGGAAAGGAGTGATAAGGATACTTCTGTTTGTATATTGAGATATATTCATGAGAAGTTGTGAGTGTATGAAGTTTCTTGTGTTAAGGCTTGTTTCTTAAAAAGTGACGCTTATCAAACATACCAATAAAATATACAGTAAAAATTGTATCAATACATGCGCTGTCATTAAAATAAAAAAAAACTGTGATGAATAGTAAAGATTAATCAGAACATGACTAGAGTTGGGTAAACATTATGAAGTATGGATAAGAAGGTGACAAAAATACCATGTCAAAACCCTGACAAAAAGGAAGCCTACCACAATTACAAAAGATGCTTTGTGTGAATCTAAATTTAAAAGGTGATTTCGGTGCTGACAGTCTAAAGAAGAGGTTATCAAACTCTGGAAGGAGACACTGAGACTAGTATTCTCCTGTCACCTGATCACTTTAACCAACTTGTGACCACTTCTGTGAGTATTCCAATTCACTTGCTCCTGTAGATGCGACTGCTATTGAAAAGAGTTGAGGAGCAGTATGCTGTGTGACCACAAAGAGGTAAGAATGGAGCGATTAGGAGTGGTGTAATTGAACACATCGTGAAGACCAGTGACCCTATCTCAAGAATCTCCTCATTCAAAGTCATTGATGTAGGAGAAAGAAGCCTTGCAAATGTTGTCCATCTTCATATTCCCTGTATGAGTGAAACTGTTGACATGTATATGGGTAGCGATTTGAGGTTTTTTGCATGAAGGAAGATTGTTCAACTTCTTCTGCCTTGATAATCTTAATTTTCGGTGTTTGAAACCACCTGCTTCATGATACTATTCAGTTTGCAAAAGATTTTTTCATGTTACCAAAGTGTTTATGGACAAATCTATTCATATTCTGATTAATCTTCACTATTCATCACAGTTTATAATTTTAATGACAGGGTATGTATTGACAAACCCCAGTTTTAAGAAACAAACCATAGTGTGAGAGAGGGAAATGTATAAATTTGCGATTAATACAAGTTTGAGATTGTAATCGTCGAGAAGAGACTCTTTAGTGAAATACGTGTACTTCTTTTCTGTCTTGCTAGGTATCTTACGCACAGTGTGTGAACTGTTAAACATTTTCCATCTTGGAAGTAACAAGTGTTCAGGTCTATGAGGCTCTCAGTGAGATACCTTTTTCATTTCAGTATGGATTGAAAACTGTCTACTTGAACCACCTAATTTGGCTGACATCAATGCATGACAAATGGTAGTCGAAAGTGGTTTCATTTACGATACTACTACTGAAGAAATTGAATAGTTTAAAACTATTCACCTGATTTAGGTGATGTTAACTAATTCGTCTCTTTGAGCTGAATTTATCCGAGTATGCTGGTTCGACGCCAAACTATGGAAACGGCTGCTGGATGTTTTGATCACTTTGATCTGGCTACCTGACGAGTGTTTTTTTGTAACTAATGAAGTTGTTTCAGTTGTAGTAGTTCATAAAACTTTGTGACGGAGATGACAGCTTGCGACTTTGGCTAACTATTAGTAGTTTCCTACAGAAACCCCGTTAGTATCACTGTTCATTGGTAGTTGAAAAACTACTCGGCTATATGAGAAATGTCAGCGTGAACTGTGTAATTTATCAATCATTTTGCAAAATAGTTTCTTCTAGTTATGAAGTCTCCACATTTTCACGAGTTCGTTGAAACAAGCCTGAATTCTCTTAAATTGATCATCAGCAATCAATATACTACAATTGGTAATAAAAAGACACATAATCTTGAGTGTTAATATCCAGTTGATTAACTGAAAGGTGAAAATCAAAAGGAGGATATCCTTTGTCTAGAAAGGTTCAGAAATAAACTGGGAGTAATTTTGTATGTATTTCAACCTTGCAATATGCATATATTGTTCAAATAGACAAATGTATTTCTGAAAATTTCATCGACTATCATGATTTGAAATTATTCAAGTATTCATATACGTGTGTGGATATTTTTGTCATCCGCTAGAGTATAGTGAGGATGATAGTGGTTTGATTATTTATTCTCTTACCTTTGGTATCCTGTCGTTGAAATTTCATCAAAAACTCTGATGACATCATTCAGGATAAAGTACTGAAAGGCTACACATGGAATATCAAGTCATTGTGCATCTCTGTTGTAACTACTATTTTAACAGCACTAATTTACGAACCAAGTTATCCTTGAATACTGGTCATCTTTTTCTTCGTCAGGAAACCTGCTCCTAACCTAAAACCATTGATATTTCTTTGTGACCACATATCTTGCATTAATTTTTCTTTCCCTATCCCTTCAAGGTGTTTGTTTATGTACCAATAAAGTTCATTTCACATTTGAAGGGGTAACATTTTCGACAAATATCTTCTGTGGTCCTGTGAAGTCCCCTAGGACTGTATCTAGGTGACATGTACATGTCATATCACCGAAGGTTTAGCTGATGATCTCAGTAGTAAAGTTACTCTCTCTCTGTTCTGGTGATGTAACTGTGATATGTGACGTACGAAATGTTTGTGAGAAGGACTTAGTGCTTATACAAGACATTATATGCCTAACTCTCTTGGATATGCTCCTGAGTTGTTGAAAAGGCAGTCGATATACAGAGAACCCACTTGAATAGGACAGTATTTAAGTTCGTATATATATTTTTTCTAACTCCGTACAAGCGAGGTTTGATAAAGTGGAAAATGGATATCCATTAAACTCCATAAACCGTTGCAAAAGTCATCCAACGTTGAAACCCAATCTGTATTCTGAAGACATGTATTTGTACTGCATGACCGCACGAAGGCGAATCTTACACCATGACTTTAAAACGAAGGTTAAGTCTACCATTAGCAAAAGATGCTATGCATCTAGGCTTATCCTGGTTGTAAAAGCTGTTTTAGCACAGAATTCATCACTGTATAGACGATTGCGTCACACCCCACTGCGTTTATTAGCTTACATGTATGTGTGTGTGTGCATACACATACATTGGGAGGACTAATCGAGATATACACTTGAGGGTGGTGGAACATTTATCCAAACTAGCTACGAAAGCAACTAGATTCACAAACATCGGTAAGCACTGGTGACAGATAACCACCGGTATCATTATCTATTGCAACGTATATTATGATCAGGATCACAGATTAAATCGTCCTTGGATAGAAATTGTCAGAGTATATATACTTAAGTTTGTTGAAGCGCTAACCATATACACACTTAAATCTACCCTTGTGTCTTCAAAAACAGTTTGTCCTTACACTAAACCTATCTTGGTTAATGCTTATTTCATGGTATAACCAAGGTTATCGTCAAAACTCATCATTCTTCCTTCATTGTTACCTTTTTTTTAATTATTTATTCATGAGCTCCTTTATTTCAAGTTGTTATTCATCGTAGACTGACATCAGTTGGAGGAACAAAGGAAACCTGGGAGCACTGGACAGCTGTTTCGTCCTAGTATGGACTCCTCAGCAGTGCGCACCCACGACCCCACCAGCAGGGATCGAACCCGCGACCTTCAGGTTCCGTGGCCAGCGTGTTACCATTGAGGTAGCACTGGGTCAGAATCCAATGCTCCTTTATCATATCATATTAGTAGTCTTTTCTCCGCTTCTATTTTTCATATAAAATGCCTTGTGACAAGTATTTACTTGTATGTGATCAGATTTTATAGAAATATTAGATAATGACTAGCAGCGGAATCCAAGTTGACGTATGTTTTGTCCTGTTTGCGACTGATCAACTAGATTTTGGTTACCTTCCAGTGAATGATTTTGTTCCTGGTAAGACTTGAAATCATCATCGATGACTTCAAATGGGTTAAGTAGGTAATCATACCTTATCATAAATATTAACAAGTGTATCCGCATAAATTGTAGTTTGGTTGCGTTATCCTCTTCTTTTTCTTTTCTCTTTTATTCTCCTATCATTTAGCTCCCTGGTGATTTTCAACCGAAAGAGCTTAAAACTACTATGGAATTTGTTCACAGTTTATCGGTCCTATTGAGTAATTCCACTCCGAATAGTCAGAATAGTAGCAACAAATAGTCATCAAGGTCAGTTGAAATGGCAGAAGAAATTGACAGATTGCAGACTGAATCAATCGGTCACTTCTATCTTAATTTATTTGTTGTTATTTGTGCTGTTAAGGTTAACTTTGTTGTTGTTGTTGTTCTTATTGCTGTTGTCGTCGTTTTTATCGATGTTGTTCTTCTTGTTGACATTGTCACCTGTCCCGACAATCATCTATCTACCTCATTCTACCTCAGTGCCGCTTTTACTTTTTGCGTGTTGTTGTATTCAACCAACTGTGTATCATTTACTCGTATCATTCCTTCTACACACACACACACACACACACATTCACCACTATTAATGTATACGTAGATAGGCACATATGCACACACAAATTTGTACATCTATACACTAGTGTGTGTACAGCTCTACATTTATGAAGTAACTGTTAATCAGTTGAATTATACTATCTACCTCAACTTTATACTCAAATTATTGACTTGTCTCTCTATTCAATAGTATTGTAGGGTTATATGAACTGAATTTTCTTGTTCAACTTGTTTTCTAGCTGTTCTTCGCCTTCTTCGAAGGTCTTATTCATCCTCATTTTTAGAGTAATGTAATCGTGTAATAAATTGGTTAATTCATTAATACAATCTATATAAATGTGTATGTGTTAGTGTCATTTTTGTTAATCTCGTTCAATGTTCATTTTGGTCGATTGTATGTATTATTTTACACTTCACATGCTCTCTCTCTCTCTCTCTCTTTCTTTTTCTATCCTTGTTCGAGTCGATTTACTGTCTATTTTATACTGCTGTTTATCCTGATGTTATTCATCGCTTCATTTCTCTATTCATCATGATGTTTAATACTAAATAGTAACAATGGCTAATAGATTGAGTTGATCAGGTGTATTATATGATCTAGAAGACCATATTTCCTGTTTATCTTCTCATCTTTTCTGATCGTTATTATTATTATTATTATTATTTCCTCTTCATTTTATCATTGTCATGATTATTGGCGCACTGGAATCGATTATCACGCTTTTGATTACTATATAAAGACGAAAGAATACCAAGAAGACGATAAAATTGCGCTGTACTTGTTGTCGCCATGATCATTTTGATTATTTTCTTTCAAGTTTTGTTTTCTAAAAGACAAGAAGACGACGACGAAAGCATACAGTCACTTGTTCTATTCATGACACCAGTATATATATGTGTGTATACTGTGTGGCTATGTCTCTCATCTATACAACATAAACTGATAAACGAACGATAACATCGATAGCGATACAAAAAAGAAAAAAGCGGTGAAATTTTCTATTCTCTAAAACTCTTATCTTTTTCACCTTCATCAATTTAGTCTCCTTTAATCTAACTTCAGTGTTGTATACATCAATGGATTTTATGGTGAATAAATTATTCTCTCTGTGTGTGTGTGTGTGTGCGGGCACTCTCTGTTTTTTTTTGTGTTCGTTATTTTTCTATCCCCTCTTCTCTTCGTTTTACTCTTTCTTCTTCCTTTGTTTACCTATTCATAATTATTTATCTAATTTTGTAGAGTGAAGAAACCTTGTTTATTTTATTTCAACTTCTTTTTCATTGTGTTCTCAATACGGTTTCTAGATGTACATACAAATGCATATATGCGTAGATGGATTAGAGAGTGCATGTTGTGTGTGTGTGTGTGTGTGTGTGTGTGTGTGATGAACAAGTCTAAAAGTGTTCTCTCTTTCCCCTGAATGACTGAAACAAATAAAAACGTTTATGTTTTAATTAACCAAAAGTAGTACTCTAGTATATACATATATATAGAAGCGAATGTATGAGAAGATATTTCGTTCTTCTCTGCCGCTTTCCTTCCATTTTACACACATATACACTATTATTCTTAGTTACAAAGTATTGGATGTGAGTAATCGACAGGAAGCTCTGCTCCACCTAGTTTCTGAGCTTGTTAATAAGGTGTATTGATATCCTCTATGAAGTTTGAACCTATATCATCTATTGTTATATTCAACGACGTTACCATTGAGAGTTATTCCTACTAATTGCTTCCAGCCAACAGATATCCTTTTAGCTTCACGGCCAAATTACACAAAATATCGATCAAATTCGGTAAGGATTCAGGATATTAAAGCAGTTTACAAATATATACATGACTGAAGGAGCTTAATAAGACAATTTACTTTATTAGATTTTCGTAGTTATTAGCCATCATCAAAGAAGAGAATAATAGGAATTGACTTCAGTGAATCCCCCTAGTTAACAGGAATACTTCAAGTTGTTATTCATCGTAGACTGACATCAGTTGGAGGAACAAAGGAAACCTGGGACTCCTCAGCAGTGTGCACCCACGACCCCACCCCGCCAGGGATCGAACCCGCGACCTTCAGGTTCCGCGGCCAGCGTGTTACCATTGAGGTAGCCACTGGGTCAGAATCCAATGCTCCATATTTTCAACTTCTGTTAGCTCACGATATATAGCGCAACCGTCACCCAATGTCATCCTTGAATGTCTGTCCTCACGACCATCAAGCTTTGCCTCCACAGGTCACGACTTCTCATTGGAACTTCGGGAATACTTCTCGAAGCTAGTTACCAATGAGCCTCAGTTCAATTGAATTTTGGCTGGCGGGTGGGGTCGTGGGTGCGCACTGCTGAGGAGTCCCATACCAGTTACAGGAAACAGCTGTCTAGTACTCCCAGGTTTCCTTTGTTCCTCCAACTGATGTCAGTCTACGATGAATAACAACTTGAAATATTTCTAAATCTCCACAACTCCCTCAAAATTAACAGGAATACATTTGACTACGAACTGAAGATAATTCCAATTTGAATATGTTTATTGATATCTCGCCATCAGTGGTTAGTAACTAAGCTGATTGGTTGGATTTAGTGATTTCTATGGGCTCTGGTTACTGACAATTAAGCCATCGGCATATATAGGGTGTACCAGTAGATAGCTAAACCAACTTACAAGTTACATCTATAAGTACTATTTTATCAAATGTAGTTCATGATGATCACACAGTAGATGAAGTGAAAGCGTAAAAGTATTACTATTCACCTTCAAATCTCTTATTCTTTCAATAGACTGAAAAGAGTATCTTTAACTATGTGCTTTACAACTTCCTTCTATAATGGTTGGAATAGTTATATTAGCCAATTTGCAGTAGGATGGTATAAAGAGTTTGACGTGTCTACAATTAGTCGGAGTTGTAGTCCGTATTTATGCACTTTCGGTAGATTATATAAACTTGGTGTTACTTCACCCGTTGGTCTGAGTATTTCATACATACTTAGCGAAATGAAGTCTTGCTATTCCAACCTTTTGAATAATTCTCATAATTACCTCTCCTTAGATATATCATCCCTATTCACCGATATTCCCTTGATCAAATCAATGGATTTCATATGTAGCGAAATAACAAAACGAAATATAAAAGTTGGAATTACAGTATCCACTTTGAAAGAGCTTCTCTTAAGATGTACAGTGAATAAACACTTCCTCTTCAACAAGCAGATCTATAGACAATCAGACAGTGTTGCTATGAGGTCATTGCTAGGCCCAGTTTTAACAGATTTGTTTACTAACGGTTTACCACCATTACGTCGACGATACATTCCTAATGATGAAGAAGGATGATGATGTTAGTATTATACTAGGTAAATTCAACACCGTCCATCCAGCAATAACTCTCACCATTGAAAGAAAAGGTGATGATAGCATTACATTTTTAGATGTCCGATTAAAATGGAAGACAGATGAAACTATAAAAGAGAGCGCATATTGAAAGCCAATTTCAGTCCAACAGTACACTCATTTTTGAGCTTCATCGTATTGAATTATAAACGAAATTTAGTCTGATTTTTGTTCCATCAGACAGAACATAACTCCTCAAATGACACTTTCGATGAAGGACAATATTGTTTGCGGGCTTCAATTTCAACATATATACATAATCTATTAGTCAGTCAACGTAACTTGTGAGTCCACAATAAATGCAAATGCAAATTGTTGCTCCAGAATCGGTCTTCAATGGTGCCTCGGCTAACAATAGAGGGTGAGTGTTGTGGTTGAGTGTGTTGACCACTTCACTTACCTAGGAAGTAGGATCAACCCCAGTGGGTTAGTTGCCGATGTGATTTCTGCACGGATACAAAAGGCTCTATTGGCTTTTGCCAATTTGCGCCACCTGTGGTGCCGCCATGATATTCGATTGTCTTTCAAGGGTCGCGTATACTGCACATCAGTCCGCTCTGTTCTACTGTATGGCTGTGAAACATGGCCATTGAAAGTGGAGTACATGAGAAGGCTTCAGGTGTTTGACCACCGTTGCCTTCGTAATATAGGACGTATTCCGTGGTGTCACCACACCGTGAGTAATGCAGAAGTCAGGTGTAGAGTTTTAGGGAGAAGAGGTAAGTCAGTTGACATGGTTGTGAACCTTCATCGACTGAGATGGTTGGGACACATACCACGTATGCCTAGTCACCGATTGCCTCGTCACACAATGTTGGCTGAGGTGGGTTCAGGCTGGAAGTAGGCCCGAGGTGGCCAGACTAAAACATGGCACGAATGTATGAAGTCTCTGACTGTTGGTTTAAGCCATGTAGGACGATGCAGACTAGGTGGTTGGGGTCGACGGGACAAGAGGAACCAGTGCTTGTTGTAGACCCTAGGTGATATGGTTCAGAACCGAAGTCAGTGGTGCAGATGTATACACACATTATCCTCATCTTAACAACGCTATACCGAATCTCACCATTTTGTCACTCCTCTTTCCTTTCTTCTCATACTTTATACTTCTTTCGACTGCATTCTCTTATCTTCATCCTTCACCTCACTACCTTTTTACTTGATGTGCTGATATGAGGTGTGGTAACTGGGACCGTTATGCAGTAATGCCTGGTCCTATGTTGATAATGATGATGATGAGTCCACGATAACAAGGGTGCGAATTATGCACTTTAGAATAAAATTAAAAATTGCGGTAGTATAAGAAATACTATGAATGTTGA